CTCGGTCCGACACTACGATACCGGCACTCCATGACGTGCCACAATCTCTCGCAACATAGATATCGGCTAACTTTTCCGCCGATATACTCTCCTGAATCGGAATAAAATGGGCACTCTTCGTCAACCGATCCACCATTACCCATATCGAGTCCACCCCGCGTGCGGTCCTGGGGAGTTTGGTGACAAAATCCATGGTGATATCCTCCATTTCCACACGGGAATGTCTAACGGCTGCATCTTGCCGTGAGGTCTCTGGTGCTTCGCCTTGACCTTCCGCAGGTCAAACATCTCTCCACATACCAAGCGACATCTCGCTTCATGCAGGCCACCAATAATCAGTCGAAGATCTCGATACATCTTCGTCGCTCCTGGGTGGATAGAAAATCGAGACTTATGAGCCTCGTCCATCAATACTTGCCGTACCCCACCCCAGTACGGTACCCATATCCTACCATGAAGCGTCAACAAACCCCGACTGTCGTAATCAAATGAAGCTACTCGGCCCACTATCCTCTCACACTTCTGCCTCTCCTCCTTGAGGCCCTCCATCTGAGCCTCCTTGATCCGCTCCAACAACGGAGTGATCACTGTCATCCTCATACACAGATCTCTGATAGGGGCCGTCGACACCTTGCGGCTCAGGGCGTCGGCCACCACATTGGCCTTCCCTGGATGATAAAGGATCTCACAGTCATAGTCCTTCAGCACGTCTAACCATCTCCTCTGTCTCATGTTCAAACTCGGCTGATCCATAAGATATCGCAAACTCTTGTGATCCGTGTAAATAGTACAGCGGACCCCATAAAGGTAATGTCTCCAAATCTTGAGGGCAAACACAACCGCCCCCAGCTCCAAATCGTGGGTAGGATAATTAGCCTCGTGAGGCTTCAACTGTCTCGAGGCATAAGCTACTACATGGCCTCGCTGCATCAATACTGCTCCCATACCTGTGATCGAAGCATCACAATAGACTACGAAATCCTCTACTCCTCTGGCAAGGTAAGGATCGGAGCCTCGCACAATCTCTGCCTGAGAGTCTCGAACGCCGCCTGCTGCTCAGGCCCCCAACGAAAAACCACCGACTTCTTGGTTAGTCGGGTGAGCGGCACTGCTATCTTTGGAGAAGTCCTGAATAAATCTCCGATAATACCCTGCCAACCCAGGAAGCTCCGAATCTCAGATTCCTCCCACTGCATCACGGCCTCAATCTTGGCCGGATCTACCAAAATACCCTTCTGGTTGACGAGATGACCAAGAAACTGCACCTCGCGCAACCAGAACTCACACTTGGAGAACTTTGCGAAAAGTCTCTCCCTCCTCAAAGTCTCCAACACCTCCCGCAGGTGCTCCTCGTGCTGCCCCTGTGTCTTGGAATACACCAAGATGTCATCTATAAACACTATCACCGACCGATCCAGCATCGGTCTGCACACGCGGTTCATGAGATCCATGAACGCGGCTGGGGCATTGGTGAGCCCAAATGGCATCACCACGAACTCATAATGACCATACCGGGTCCTGAAAGCAGTCTTCTGTACATCCTCATCTCTAACCCTCATCTGATGATACCAGA